AAACCCCTGATGAAGGTCCCCATGGGGCGGGGGAGCGGGGCTCAGCTTGGCTGGAGCTTTCCTGTCCACCCCGGCTGCTGGGCACGGGGTTACCCACGGGAAAGGGGGGGCTCGGGGACACAGGGGGGGCTCGGGGACACAGGGGAGGCTGGCTGCATGGGGTGGAGATGGGATGGAGAGCTTTGTCTAAGCTGCTGCCCTGTTCTGTTTTACCCCTCTTGATTTGGCACAACAGAGGCAGGCACACATGAGAAACTGCCTGGACAGCAGAAACCTGAGCAAAAGCCATTTGGAGGACTTGCCAGCAGAGGCAGGCACACACGAGAAACTGCCTGGACAGCAGAAAACTGAGCAAAAGCCATTTGGAGGACTTGCCAGGTGTGGGGACCTGGTGCTGTGGTGAAGATGACTGCCTCCTGCAGCACCCTACACACAGTGTGGGATGCAGTGGGCCCGGCTTTCTGCCTGCTCCCAGTGGGCTGGAGCCGAGGGGAGTGTGCCAGAGCTGATGCCAGATGTTCCTGTGACCACGCTCACGGGACCTGTTCCCTCCCAGCCCCGGTTGGTTTTGCCAGAAGAACAATCTGTGAGCTCTCCCACAAGAAACATCTTTCATTTTCTCACTGGGGTCCTTCACCAGCCCGTCGCCCGCACAACGCTATCTTTGTGAACTTTGATAGTGAAGAAATCCCAACCAAACCCCTGGATGCTGCCATACAGATCTGTGAGAAATTGTGCACCAATCCTGGGGATAAAAAGGTGGAGGAAGAGCTGAGGAAGGCACCTTGCTCCTGAGCTGGGCTGAGCACTGCACTGTGGCATGCAGACCTCACCAAAAATGGTTGTGGCTGTAACTACTGCTGGCTTCTCGGAAGGTTCTGTAGTTGTGATTCCTGTATAACCTCGTTAATGAGTGAGATATGGGCCTGTGTAATTAGGCCAGGAACACTAATCCAGGTACACTTCGGTTTGGTATCAGCTGTCCCTTGTGCCCTTGGCAAAACTCACATTTGCTTTTTCTCTTCTCTGATCTCTAAAGGAGAAGAGCTGTGCTGGGATATTCTGCCAGGGGTACAGGAATATTGGGTGCCCTGAACAGCTGCAGCTCCCCTTGAAATGGTGGATGGGAGAAGAATTTGTCAAGGCATGACAGTGTCATGTCAGGAAAGTGAGTGAGTGGCATGTATCTGAAATGCCACTGGGGGCTGTGAAATTTTCTTGCTTAGGGTTGCCTGTGTTCTGAAAACAAATTTTGCAATGTGCCTCCTGCAGAGCTCTCCAGCTCTTTTCGAGGACAGACTGGCTGCCGGATGGACATTGTCTGTTTCTCTGAGGATAATGATGGGCAAATGCAAAGTCTGACTGATATAACAAGAGGCTGCATCCCCAAATCTCCCCGTGTGTGGGGAGTGCACCTTGGCCGAATTGGTGGCCATGTGGAAGGTAGAAGAGGTGCCTGAGGAGGTGCTGGGGGAGCACTCCAGTGCTACTGGAGTCCCTAAGGCAGGTGCTGCCCTTCGGCTGGTCTAAGGGGGATGAAAATTCTGTGCCATGACTTCAGCATCGAGCCTCGCCAGTGATCTTGGACATAAAGAGAGCAGGAAAAAATGCTTTCTGGCAGTGAATAATTAATTCCCTTCTGTTGTGCTCACTAGCTAGTGTGCTTCTCAGTTCCGTCTTCCCTGCCCCAGCAGTTAGCAAGGATGAAAAGACGCAGACCATGGGGCAGAGCTTCAGGTCCACAGAGGCTGGCCACTCCTCAGTTTGACACTGCTGGCTGGATTGCTACCACCCAGTCACAGAAATCAAGGATCTGCTGGCATTTGCCAAGTCTTGTGCATCCCCCAGTGCGTGATGAGTGCAAGGTTTCTCACAGTGGCTGATAATACGCTCCAATGCATGCTTTCATATGATTTTGGCCTCCTGCACTTGTGTGAGGCTTCTCGAGTCTTCGGCATTTTTAATGTTCTCTGGATTTTGTTAGACTGAGATATTTCCTTAGGTTTGGCCTCCAGCTCTCAAAAACAACATCTGCAGGGCTCTCACACAGTGACGCCGGTCTACCTTTGTCCTGGTTTGGCCTCAGCCTAGTCAAGGACAGGTGTGTAGAGGCTCTCCTGGTTTACCTTAGAGCCAACTGGGTCACGGCATTGACACGCAGCCACGCTCCAGCCTATATATACATGTACCAGCCTCCGCCTGGCTCTTCGGGCGTGCACTCACCATGGCTCGCTGGGAGATCCTGTGCTTTGCCTTGTGCTCCTACCTGGGGGTAGCATGGGCTGCAACCGTAAGTAGAAAAGCCCTTCTTATGGCTTGGGAAGGCTGTTCCTGCCTGAATGTGCAAACTCCTGCTGTGTCTGGTCTGGAGCATGTGGAAGAGAGCTTGCAGACCCTGACAGCCAAGGCAGGGTGTTTTGCTGCCCTAAACATGATAAAAGCTCTCACCAACCTTTGTCCAAAAGTTCCTGCCCAGTTCAGTGTCCGGTCTGGTTTGGGTTACATCTTAAGGCTGAAGGTCCTCCCCTTCTGCCGTTTGTCTTTGGGAGTGCAGGGGAATTGCTGCTGCCTGTCTGCTCCGAAGGGCAGCGTGCAGGACATCTGCATGGGCACAGCTCCGGGGGCAGCTGCCTGTGGGCTTCCCAGGAGGGTCCAAAGGGACGGCTGGGGAACACAGGCTGCGAGTAGGTCCATCCGGGGGACCAGCCAGGGAGAGGTGTGGGTGCTGGCAACACGGGAAGCCAGAGGCATGAAGGACTGTGCAGTGGATTTTCTCTTCTCAATGGTACCACATGTAGCTGGGTGTGGTGCACACCGAAGGCGGTTTTGTGGAAGGTGAGAGTAAAAAGCTGGGACTCTTTGGGGGCTATGTCGACATCTTCCGAGGGATCCCCTTTGCTGCCCGCCCAAGGACTCTGCAAGACCCTGAACCTCATCCAGGCTGGGATGGTAAGATCCAGCTTTCGAATGCCTTTTCTTTGGGGTTTTATTTTCACTTCTCTCTCTTTAGTCTGTTCTGGACAAGCCAAAGCTGATGTTGCCTGCTTTCATCTTGTAAGCAGCACCAAGAAAAAGCTCTTAGTCTCATGGGGGTTATGAAAGTCTGTGTCTAAGGGTTCCCAAGCAACTCAAGTAACCACATGAAGTAACAAATCTGAAGCATGGTGCCTGCATCTCCCCTCCCCATACCTTGGCTGTCCAGAGCTAGTTCCCATGGGAAAGGGTCCCACTCTGTCACCCCCTCAGGCTGGTCACAGTGGCTGGGGTGGCTTTGCCACCTCTGCACTGGACTCAAGGAAGAGAGGATGGATGGACAGAAAGCTTGTGACCAAAGGATGGAGCTGATGCCTCTAGCTAAGACCCACTGTCTTCCCTCTCTCCTCTCAGGAACACTGGAGGCAAAAAAATTCAAAAATCGCTGCATGGAGATGACGCTTACACAAACTGATGTCCGCGGAAATGAGGACTGTCTCTATCTGAACATCTGGATCCCTCAAGGGAGGAAACATGGTATGTGCTTGGGAGAGACTTGGGGAGGAGATTCTCACTTGCCTTTTGTGGACAAATTGCTCCAGAGCATCTCTTAGCAGCTACGTTCCCATTGTGGGCAACTGCAGGAGCACTGATTTTGAGAGAGAAAGGTGGGAGCCATGTCAGCCAACATCCCTGAGCTGCAGTCTGTTTGGAGTTTCAGCCTCTTGTACGGAGCAGGGACTTTCTTGGCCATAGGCTACTGCAAAGCATCATGTCTGTTCATGCCCGGGTGGAGCAATGCTCAGCAAGTGGGTATGGAGATGGATGGGCAGCACCTTCTGGCTTTGTTGCAGCTCACACTGCTTTTCTTCCTCACCTCCCAGTCTCCACCAACCTCCCAGTGATGATCTGGATCTTCGGCGGTGCCTTCCTTGTAGGAGGGAGTCAGGGAGCCAACTTCCTCAATAACTACCTCTACGATGGCGAGGAGATCGCTGTGCGGGGCAATGTGATCGTGGTGACCATCAACTATCGCCTTGGGCCCCTGGGCTTCCTGAGCACCGGAGACGCTAACATGCCAGGTACCGTAGCTGCTCCTGACACGGGTCCCCAGCTCATCAGCTTTGCCATGCCCTTGCTCAATGGTGGGTGCTCTCTGTTGCTCAGGGAACTACGGGCTGAAGGACCAGCACATGGCCATTGCCTGGGTGAAGAGGAATATCAAGGCCTTTGGGGGTGACCCAGAAAACATCACCATCTTTGGGGAATCAGCCGGTGCCGTCAGTGTCTCCCTGCAGGTGTGTTGTCCTTGTCAGACCCCACCAGAGCCCCTTCTGTTCTTGGTAAACAGGAGGGATGGTCCCCTTGGCACTCTGCTGCTGTCCTCCATGCGCCACCTCATTGACATCCTCTCCTGCCCGGGGACAGCAATGCTCAGCCTTCTTGCTTTTAGCCACTCCTCATTCTTCAGTTTAATCAGTCGCACTGCTGCAGGCATGTGTCCTCACTTTTGGGACCTCTGTGAAAGAGCATTTACTTGCCATGTCCCCCTACTCTGCTGCTCTTCTCACCGTACCACCTTTCAACTCTAACTCCTGAGAATCTTAAATAGCATGAGAGCTGGGAGCATCCCTGGGGCTGGTGCCCAAGCTGACAGGTCCGGCAGGTGATGGTCTCATCAGGATTTTGCACCTGAAACCCTCTTGTTTCTCTTTTGCACCACAGATGTTGAGCCCAAAGAACAGGGGCCTGTTCAAGAGAGCCATCAGCCAGAGCGGCGTCGCTCTCTGCAGCTGGGCCATCCAGAAGGACCCGCTCGCCTGGGCTAAAAAGGTAACGGGCAAGTCTTGCCTGAGGGAGTGGAAAAACCAAAAAGGTGATTCCCTAGAGAAGAGTGTAACTAGCAATGGATTCGGCAGGAGCCATGCTGCCAAACAGAGCTTTGGAAACATAGAATCACAGAATCCCAGAAGGGTTTGGGTTGGAAGGGACCTTAGAGATCACCCAGTCCCACCCCCTGCCATGGGCAGGGACACCTCCCCCTAGACCAGGTTGCTCAAAGTCTCACACTGCCTTGGGATTGAAACCAACCACTCTTCCGTCTCTGGGAAGCCGGTAATGCAGCCTGGCTTTGGAAGGTAATGCTCGGAGGTTTCTCTCTCTTCTCCTGCAGGTTGGACGAAATGTGGGCTGCCCCACAGATGACACCACCGCCTTGGCCAACTGCCTGCGGGTCTCCGACCCCAAAGCTGTGACGCTGGCCTACCACCTGGAGCTGATCAACCTGCCCGGTAAGTCCCCTGCCCACACAGGGCTCACCGTGCCTTTGGCGGGATGCTGGGCTGATTGCCAGGAGTGCTGAAGCAGTGCATGTGTCCTTCAGAAATGGGACAACAGTGACAGATCTCACAGTTGCCCTTCTGCAGGCAGGGGCACGTTGCACTGTGTGACCACTGCTCATCGTGCAATGGCAGTGATGGCAGAGGAATTACCCAGGGGCCATGCCTTGGCTCCAAAGTAACTCTTTGGGCTTTCTGTCTTGTGAAAGCAGCAAGAGCAATTCCAGACTGCAGTTTACAAGCAAAAAAATAATTGATCACAACCCTGCTATTTTCATTTGAGTCGCTGGGTGGAGTGTAGGACTCACAGCGGGCAGGGAACGCTGCTGTTTTGCTGCCTGTGAGAATTTATTTCCCAAGAAGACTCTCCTCCACTTGCTCTCCTCATGCTCCTCGTAAATAGCCCCAGTATTCTGCCTTGCTCAGGACCAAGCCATCACCGTGCAGCTGCACTGGCCAGAGCCGGCTGTCCTGGCAATGACTGAGAACAGCCAGAACAGGGGTGTGGAAGGGAAGTTCTGCTCTTCCTTACCTTTGGCTGGGCTTCTTGGGAAGCGACTGGGGAAAGGAGGAAAGGAATAATTGATGTTACCTTGTCTGGCAGATCTCTTGTTCTTTTCCTCCCACCTACAGGCATGTGGTTTATGGGATGTGATCCTGTGGTCACCCTGCTCCTGGGTGACATCCTGCCCACACAGAAGTCACTGTGAGGCTCTCATTCACCTCAGCCTTGTCTTTCCACAGCTCCTTGAGTCATGGGATATGGCAGGCCACCCTCCTGTCTTTGCTCCTAAACAGACTCCGGTTTTGTCTCCTGCTGCAGTTCCCCTGGTTCACACGCTCGCCCTCACTCCTGTTGTTGATGGAGACTTCCTCCCAGACATGCCAGAGAACCTCTTTGCCAACGCTGCTGACATTGACTACATCGCTGGGGTCAATAACATGGATGGACACTTCTTTGCTGGCATTGATATGCCTGCTATCAACCGCCCACTTATGAAAATCACTGCGTAAGTGAGGAATGCTCTTAAAACCCTTAACAAGAGGAGCCTTATGTTTAACACAGCCCCTGAACTCTGAGGACTTAGATCTGAGTGGACAGGGCACTACCTTCAAAACAGAATGTCACTCCAAGGCAGAGTGTCTAGGGAAAATGTTGCCAAGCCCAGAACCTTCAAGAGAAAAGACCTGCTAGTGGGGAAGCCTCCCCATATACCTTTAAATGCTCCTGACCTCAGCACCAGCAATAGGCTTGGCAGCCGTGATGCTTTCTGTCCAGAGCAGGGACATGCCAGACTTGCTGGGTGCCCACCCCATCAGACCCCTCTTTGGGGATGAAAGGAACCTGTGGACAATCTGGCCCCAAACTGTTCTGCTGAAAAAGCTGGGAAGCACATGCCCTCCATCTCAGACCTGCAATTAAATCACTGGCTTTTACTCCACCAAACCATTGCTAACCGCAGGGTTGGAGGGGAACGTCAATGGGGTCTGGGGTCCCTTGCCATGGGCCCTGCCCCACTTGAAGCTGCTGGTCTGTAATTAGTCAATACTACTTGTCTTTTCAGGGCGGAGGTTTATAATTTGATCAGAGGACTTACTTTGGACCGGGGCGAGCGTGGAGCCAATGACACATACAATCTCTACACGCAACCGTGGGGTGACAGACCAGACCAGGAGGTCATGAAGAAGACAGTGGTGGACGTGGCTACTGATTACATCTTCCTAATTCCCACACAGTGGACATTGAATCTGCACCTGCAGAATGCCCGGTGAGCAGCTCAGCCTTGGCAGGAGCCCAAACCCACCTGGGGGCCAAATGCTTCGTTCCCAGCACAGGGGGCTGAGGAGCATGTTAACAGGGGTGAACTTGATGGAGGCAGGCTTTCTGGTACTGAGTACACACTTACACGTGTACAAACACTGTTTCTCTGCTGCTGCGGAGTCATGCTGTAAATTTCCACTAAAATAAATTTTTGCTTCTGAAAAAATTCAGACACAGCAAGTGTTATTTTATTTCCCCAGGAATGACAAGACTTACAACTACGTGTTCTACAAGCCATCCCGAATGCCTGTCTACCCGAAGTGGGTAGGGGCAGACCATGCTGATGACCTGCAGTACGTGTTTGGGAAACCCTTCGCCACCCCCCTGGGTTACTGGCCCAAGCACAGGACTGTCTCAGCTGCCATGATTGCTTACTGGACCAACTTTGCCAGGACAGGGTAAGTGATTCTGGTTACACATTTGGGGCTTGCAGCGGTGCTTCACCCTGCTGCTTTTGCCTATTAACTTCTCAGGAGTGATTCCCAAAAGCCCGGTGTCCTCTGTCTGTACTTCTCTTGTGAGCCTGGCTCCATGTCTCCCAGCAGTGGAGTTTGCTCTGGGTCCTCCTCATCCAGGGAACACCTGGGGACAGCAGAAGCCTTTTCAGAACCTGTGAACACTGCTTAAACTTAATGATGAGGTTTTTTTTCCAAATCCTGGAGTTCAGACAGGAGTTAAGCCCCTATCTGCAGCCAGGGACAATGCTAGCAGGGACCAAGGGAGGAGACTGCAGATCAGCAAGTTGCTCCTAGCAGGCAGAATTGCTATTGCTTGTCCCAGAGTCAAACTCTCTCTCTCTGCACTCACTTAAAGCCTCACCTGAGCAGATGGGGTTCCCACCAAAGAGTTACAACCTTGCTGCATCCACAAGCTGTCCTGATAAAGCTGAACTTGTATTCCTCCTTTTTTGACCAGTGATCCCAACAAAGGGAATTCAGAGGTGCCCGTTAACTGGCCACCCTACACCACCGAGGGCGGTTATTACCTGGAAATCAACGACAAGATAAACAAGAACTCCGTGCAGGAGCATCTGAAAAGCCGGTATGTGACCTATTGGAACACGGTCTATCAGAACCTGCCCCAGGTTGCCAACAGCTCCATGATCCAGGGACCTCTGTAGAGATAAGAAAAAAACACCTTTTAAAGATCAGCTCCATTCATTAAAGGCTTGCTTGTAACTGAGTGGTTCTGGCTTCTCTGTGTCATTGCTGTGACAGGGTTTTCTCCCTGACACGAAGGTCAGGCAGGACACGACATCCAGCCCCTGGGTGAGCTGGGACACAGCGATGTCCCGGACGGCAGTGCCCCGGAAAGCCGCTAGCACCCGCAGCCACGGCTCGGCCGGCTCTGACAGCGCTGGGCTCGGGCTTTGCCTGCCCATGCCCTGTCCTCTGGATACCCCCCATTGCCACCACCACCCCGCTAACACACACAGCTCGGGGACACGCACAGTTGTCACAGATGCACACAAACCACAGAATCACAGAGTCATGAAGGTTGGAAAAGACCTCAAGGATCACCAAGTCCAACCCAACACCACCCAACCCACTAAACCACGTCCCTGAGCACCACATCGACGCGTTTCTTGACCTCCTCCAGGGATGGTGACTCCACCACTTCCCTCGGCAGCCTGTTCCAATGCTTGATCACTCTTCCAGTGA